AAATTTCAAAAGTTAACGGAAAAATATAGTGCATAATGAGGAGACGCAATGATGTGAAACAAGATATATATATTTCCGGGTTTCAAAATCATAAAAGAAAGAAGTTAGAAGTCCCATAATAAACTCAAAAAGCAACAAAAAAGACCTTAAGTTTTGTCAACAAAAAATAAAAATGAAAAATAAAGAAGAATGAAACTGACACCAGGAAATATCATTGAAAATTCATTTGTGCCGGCAAAATATAGTAAGAACAAAATACTAAATAAATTAGTAATAGCTTCTTACCACCAAAGTAAGACTCTAACAACACACACGTCAAGAGGAACCAAGATTTTTACAAATTTACCTGCTGAGGCCATATCGTTCTGCTGTAGCAGTTGTTCGCCGTTCGTTAAAATTTGAAGAACATATTCACAGATGCAACACTAGAAATAAACGCTGTTGTACTAGCCGTTGGTAAGTTCAAAAAAAAAAAAGCAAAAAGTAAGAAACACCCAGAAGAAGCAAAGAAAAAAATGTAAAATAAATGACGAAAATGCAAGTTTAAATAATAAACAAGTGAGACAGAAACGACTGCCTTGTTTAATAAGGATATTTTATGGCTGATGAATGAGTGTCAAAAATACGATAAAATTAATGAGGATTCAATTCATCAATCACAGCCACAGATAACAGCCCCAACAGTTGAATAAAGACGTAAACTATTCTTTATTTCATTCCTCTGTGGCAACAATCTTACTGCAAAAAAGAAATTAAGCTACCGTTAGTTTAAAAGCTTCCTGAAACATTAAGAACTAGCAGAAATCCAGTTAGAAAAGTCTACAGATAACCAACACTCTCTAGAAATTCAGGAATGACACAAATAAGCATATATATACAGGCCATTCCATGCCAAATGACACACTTTTTTCCCTTTATATCTCAGATTTTTTCTTGAATTTTGCTGATTAGTGTAGTCTATGCAGTATACAAAAAGCCGAGAAAAAACCCAGAAAAATAAATTTCCCTCCAAGTTATACCCCCTCAAGTTGCAAAACTTGCCAGGTTGTCGTTTGACATGCCTACCTTTCCAGACTTGTAATCTAGCTTGTTTTGGACAAAATTTGATGCTTTTTTGTTCATTAGATTCCTCCTAAACTTTTAAACGCGTATTTACTATTTTAATTCTGCTGAAAAATTACATGAATATAATGAAAAAAAGATTTCAAACAATCATTTTTGAAAAAAAAGTTTCAAATTTTTTTGAAAAAAGGCATATTCTGTGCAGAATTTTTTGCCTTACAACATCTCAAAATTTAGAAATAACGATTTTTCCGTATCGAAAGCTATGAGCCGGAAGAGGATGTAAAAGTGAAAGAAAACTCACTATTTTTACAGTAATCCCATGTATTTTACAATGGCAAAACCATCCGGAGCCGTTTCTGAAGGCCGCAGCGGGCAGTTACCCATATCCAGTATGCTCAAAAAGTTGAAAATTTGTTACCAAAGTTGTACTTTACTTTAAAAACATTAACAAATTATTATTCTGCAGAGCTATGAGAGGCAGCCTTCACTCCAGCGTTTTCTACTTCTCGTGTTTTATTCTGTCAAAGCTGAGCAACTAGTATACGTTTTGGCATCGCAAAGAATTTTAAGAACTTACTGCTTTACCTGGAGAGCTGTTGAATTAAGGTTCTTCTTGAAGCTTTCTAAGTTTCTAGAGAATTTCAGCACATAATTTCGAAGAAGAACAACAAGCCGAGCTTCCCTTCGCTCGTGCAACCAAAACTTTAAGGAGTACAAAATGGAGACAATTCAAAGAGCTTAGAAACCACGAAATACAAAAAGCAGAAAGGGCTGGAGTGAACTACCTCTTACAACTCTGCGGAACAATAACTTATTAAAATTATTAAAGTGAAGTACAACTTTGGTAACAAACTTTCAAAGTTTAAAGCATATCAGATATTTGCAGGGTTATAATAGGTGGTCTCTACTCTAGCCCTTTCT